GTACAGAGGGAGTAGGAATACAGGTGATGACCCTTTGGGTCGTCACATTCTCCACCTCTAAAACAACCGTTCGTCCTCGAACGGACAGAAGAAAGGAGTACCTGAGTCGGGGAAAAGATGGGGATAACGGCTCCGCATATCGGACTCGGACTCCCAGGTCGATGCCTCAGGAGGCTGACCTCTCCACTGAACACGAACAGAAGGAAAACTCTTGGATCTCAACTGACGAATCTGCCGGTCCAGAATAGCCACCGGCTCCTCCTCATAGGACAAGTCCCTGTCCAACTGGACAGAACTGAAATCTAACACGTGGGCAGGATCGCCGTGATACCTCCGAAGCATGGATACATGGAAAACTGGATGCACGGCTGATAAGCTGGGCGGCAACGCAAGTCTATAAGCCACCTGTCCCACTCGATCAAGAATCTCAAACGGACCAATGTACCTAGGGCTAAGCTTGCCCTTCTTCCCAAATCTCATCACGCCCTTCATAGGCGACACTCGGAGCAATACCCGCTCACCAACCATGAAAGCTACATCTCGAACCTTACAGTCTCCATAACTCTTCTGCCTAGACTGAGCTGAACGAAGCCTCTCCTAAATGATCTTGACCTTGTCCAAGGCCTCCTGAACCAAATCCGTACCTATCAATCGAGCCTCTCCTGGCTCAAACCATCCAACCGGAGACCGACATCGCCTACCATATAAAGCCTCATAAGGAGCCATCTGGATGCTCGACTGGTAGCTGTTGTTGTAAGCAAACTCCGCCAAAGGCAAGAACTGATCCCACGAACCTCCAAAATCAATAACACAGGCTCGGAGCATATCCTCCAAAATCTGAATAGTCCGCTCGGATTGGCCGTCCGTCTGGGAATGAAATGCTGTGCTCAAGTCTACTCTTGTGCCCAACTCTCGCTGAACTGCTCTCCAGAAGCGTGAGGTAAACTGCGTACCCCGATCCGAAATGATAGACACGGGCACGCCATGAAGGAGAACAATCTCCCGAATATAGATCTCAGCTAACCTCTCAGAAGAATAGGAGACTGCCACAGGAATGAAATGTGCTGACTTGGTCAGCCTATCAGCAATAACCCATATCGCATCAAACTTCTTCCGGGTCAATGGAAGTCCAGTAACAAAGTCCGTAGTAATCCGCTCCCATTTCCACTCGGGAAGCTCAATCCTCTGATATAATCCACCAGGTCTCTGATGCTCGTACTTAACCTGCTGACAATTCAAACAACGAGCCACATATGCTACGATATCCTTCTTCATCCTACGCCACCAATAATGCTGCCGCAAGTCCTGGTACATCTTCTCGGCGCCCGGGTGAATAGAGTACCTGGAGCTATGGGCCTCCGCTAAGATCAACTCTCGAAGCCCATCCACATTGGGCACACAAACTCGCCCCTGCATTCTCAAAACTCCACCCGCATCTAAGGTAACCTGCTTGGCACCTCCTCGCTGCACCGTGTCTCTCAGGACACACAAATGGGGATCATCAAACTGCCGATCACGGATACGCTCCAATAATGAAGAACGAGCAACCGTGCAAGCTAACACTCTGCTGGGCTCAGAAATATCCAACCTTACAAATCGATTGGCCAAGGCCTGAATATCCAAAGCAAGCGGCTTCTGGCTGGCCGGAACATAAGCAAGACTACCCATGCTGGCGGACTTCCTACTCAAAGCATCGGCCACCACATTGGCCTTCCCCGGGTGATATAAGATAGTGACATCATAATCCTTCAACAACTCCAACCACCTCCTCTGCCTCATATTCAACTCCTTCTGCTTGAACAAGTATTGAAGACTCTTGTGGTCAGTGAACACCTCACATGCCACGCCATACAAATAATGCCTCCAAATCTTCAAGGCATGGACAATAGCTGCGAACTCTAAATCATGCACTGGATAGTTTTTCTCATGAATCTTCAACTGCCTCAAAGCATAGGCTATAACCTTGCCATCCTGCATCAATACCGCATCAAGTCCAATACGGGAAGCATCACAATAGACGGTATAAGGCCCAGATCCTGTGGGCAAGACCAACACCGGTGCCATAGTCAGGGCTGTCTTGAGCTTCTGAAAGCTCGCCTCACACTCCTCCGACCATCTGAACTGGGCACCCTTCTGGGTCACCTGGTCATCGGGGCTGCAATG